TTTTCTAGAGTTTTATAATTATGATTTGTTTTTCTTTCATGTCTTGAATTATTTTCTTGATGCCTTTTAGCTTGTTTTAAAATAGTATGTTATAATTTTGATGTGTGCCCAGGGTCTGTCTTTCATTATCTGTAGGAATGTTTATTCTGCTCTTCAGTCTCTTTTTTCTTAAAATAGCTGTATGGGATGGGACCTTGACATTTTTCTGTTATTTTTCTGTGAAATTTGTTTTCCTGAACTTTTAGTAGGGGTCATGATTCAGGATAACTTTTCTAATGTCGCAGAGCTCCCTCTTCTGGTTTTTTTGTGTGTGTTTTTTGTAAAATGTTAAAAAATACGGTGACTTCCTTTTCCCTTCTCCACTTTTATCTGGACCTCTTCCTTATCTCTATTGTCCCTATTTTGCTCAGTTTTGGCTCCACACCTAGCAGCTTTTCCTCATTGTGGAGCCCTGTTCTGGAAGGCAGCTTTGGTTGTGGGGGTTGATTTTAAGAATTTACATGACCCAGACTGTTCCAGCCTTTCCCAGAACTTCCCTGGCACTCACTTGTTGTTGGATTGGACTAAACCTTCCCAATTTTCAGCTTCTCTTTTCAAATTGGCCATCATACTTACTATTTTGATGTTTTCCTTAAGTCCCTCAAATGCCCCATTGCTTCCCTACACATCCTCTTGCACAGATGCTGATTTCATGCAGGTCCTGTGGCTGCCGATGGTTTTCCCCACTCGCATTTTGAGGTTCATGTCACCTACTTTTGTTGTAAATGTTGTCTATGGGATTTTGGTTTTGCTATCTTAATCACTGCTTAATTTTAATTTAGGTGATGATTCAGGTAGATTAAAAATATATGATATGACATCTGCCATCTAGAATTCTAATCCATTCTGCATTCACATTTTAAAAATCCCCCTGTATAGCCCTGGCCTGGTAGCTCAGTTGGTTAGAATGTCATCCCAATAACACCAAGGCGTTCAGTCCCCATTCAGAGCACATATAAGAATCAACCACTGAATGCATAAATAGGTGGAACAGCAAATCTATGTCTGCCCCACCCCTCTCTTTCTCTCTCTAAATAAATTTTTTTTTAAAGTTTTTTTTTAATTCCCCTGTATGGACTCAGAGTTTCAGACCTCTTGCCTATGGCATGTCCACTATGTTTGCACTTTGTTCCAAAGCTTTAGTTCAGATGTTACTAATTTATTGGTGTTTGGGTATTGTAAAATTATCAATATAGAAAGGGCTATTAAAAAGCAGTTTATCATTATAGTGGAAATGAAAGTATTTACTATTTGTAGCAAAGCTGAAAGTGATTCAAAATGTATTTGTTTATGGAATGAACAGCATGAACTTTCTGTTCATTCTGAACTTCTGTTCAGAAGGGCAAAGAGCAAATTATGAAACCTGTGCCTGTGCCATTGAGGGTAATTGTGATCAGCAGGAGACAAAGAAAAGGGACATGGGACAGGGACAACCTTTTAGTTCAAGGATCACTGTCAGTGCCTAATATCTGGAAGCTTAACATTCATTCAGGGGAAAGCAAAGGGTTAATTCAAGATAAAGCCTGAACTTTGCCCACAAGCTTCAGATGGTTTTATAAATTCTGGGCTACTTACACACCTCAACATCAAAGTAAATAGCCAGTGGCTAGTGCAAGCACTAGAGCTGCTTTTGGACATTGCTTGGGCTGTTAAGAAATAAAGCCTCAACAGAATTTTTTTAGAGTAACCAAAACTGATTTCGTTTATGGAGGTGGGGAGAGGCAAGCCTGATAGAAAGTTTATCAGCATAAAGGAGAAAAAGATTTCTGGTTAGAGAGTAACAAAGGACCAACTAATACCCCTACTTAAAGGAAATACATCCAGGTACTGTAGGCACAGTTCTTTCTCAGTCCTTTGCAAACAAGTTGACTTCTTTATACGTACCTTGAGGAACCTAACCTGATTTTAAATAGAATAGCATCTGGTCATTGTAGACTGAATAATGGTAGATTGTTTCATAGGTGGTGCAGAAACATTTTTTATATCAATCTTTCAAAGCAGCCAAGGGCAGAAGGTTAAATGATAGCAACAAAAATATTTCTTCAGGGAAGTAAACAAATGATGTGTAGTTCTACACAAGCGCAGAGACTTGGCATGAGTGGAGGTTAGTGTGGCTGAGAGGGACGAGGGAATAGTGGAAGTGAATGAGTTTGGAGAAGGAACCAGGAGTCAGGTTATGTAGGGCTTTACAGGCTGTAATGGTAAGAACTTTGGACTTTATTTCTAAGGTGTGTGGAAGCCATTAGGTTGAGAGCAAAGGAAGAATGAGCCATTAATAAGGTAAACAGTATGTTCAAGCCAAAAGGATGCCAAAGGCACTATGGAGTGCTTTGGACAGTGAAATAGATGTGTCAGAATAAAAGAACCTGGGTTAATATTGATTTTTTTTAATTTGAAATTTTATGGTTTTAGATGTATATAAGAGTTACAGACATGAGGTGTACACACACACACATCTTTTGTTTTCCAAAGTTTGCTAAATAGTACTGACCTCATTTCATATATTCTTATTTCTCTTCTGTTCTCTTTAATGTTTAAAATGAAATGCTAGTTGCAGCCCACTAAATTAACTTAGTAACATTAATGGATCAGAATTTGAAGTTTGAAAAACACTGTAAATCTAGTATAATCCCTTTATTTGGTTTGCCATGGCACACATTACTGAAAATGACCAAACCAGAATTCAGATATTACCACATTTCCCAAGAGTATATTTATTAAAAAACAAAAGACAAACTCCCCTATACAGTGTAACAGTAGGTTCTAGTGTAGAAAAAATTTTAAGGATAAGTGTTCTTACTTGACTATATTGCCTGTGCTATTCTCCCTGGTATGAAAAGTTAAGGCCTATAAATTTCAGGCCTTACCTTGTAAAATATTAATACAATTTTCTTTATTATGGTCTGTAATTAAATATACAGACTGCTATCCAAAGTAACAGTCTCTTTTGAGTTATAAACAGTAAGTCACTTATAGACAACCTGATGACCTTTATATTGTCACCTAAGAATTAATGAGAAGAAATATCATTTTCATATTTTCTGCAAACTACTTATTCTTTTGTTGTATTTCATTTTGGAAGAGAGCCTGTGGGAGGAGTGAAGCATAAATGAAACAAAGGTCAGTGTGAAGTAATGGGAAAGATGGTCCTTTTAATTCTCTTATTTGAATCCTTGCTTCTGTTTTCCATAGCTCTGTGACCTTTGGAAAAAATACTTGCCTGTGCCTCACTTTTCTCATTTATAAAAGGTAGTAATATCTATATCACAGCTTTAATGTTAAGGTTAAATGAGAGCCTGGTGGTGTAACACGTATTTTAATAAATACTAGGGATTTTTTATTTCCTTTCTTCCTTAGGAAGGAATTCAGTGAAAATATATTGCTAGAATAATCAGGGCTAGAGAGTGTAGAAAATTTCAAAATGAAAGGTACATCTTTTTTTATTGGTGGTTCTCTTCCTGGTAAGTCTATTGTATGTGATCCCAGTTGTTCCTTACTTCTTTTAGGATAAGTAGGTGATAAACAGATGGCTTTCTGTGCTTTCTCCTATCCCTTCCCTTTTAAAGAGGGAAGATTACCTAAGTGATGAAAGGCAAGTTTGGGAGGCCAGGAAGTAGTATCTTCATAGTTGGTTTCATTATTTTAGTTTCTAGTATCTCCAATCTGCTTAACACAAAAATTTACTGAAGATATATCAGTCCTGATATCAAGTATGTTAGCTAACTGATAGCTATTAATTATAAGTGTTACCTAAAACCATTTGTCTTGCCTATGGAATAAACAACACCTCCTTTGATTTAACACAGACATCCTAGGAAAATTACAAGTCAGAGTGAGATGGAAAGATAGAATTAGAATTTCATGTAGCTATCTTACACACACACACACACACACAATTTTGGTTTATTGAGATGTCATTTATATGCCATAAAGTTCACCCTTTTAAAGTGTACAATTTAGAGGTTTTTAATATATTCACAATTTTGCAGCCATCACTACTATTTAATTTTAGAACATTTTAATCACTCCAAAAAGAAACCTCATACCCATTAGCAGTCATTCTCACCCCCTGCCCCCCATGCCCTGGCACCTCAGCCCTTTGTCATTACTAATGTACTTTTTGTCTCTATGGATTTGCTTATTCTGGGTATTTCATATAAATAAAATTACATAATATAAGGTCTTTTGTGACTGACTTTTTAAATTTAATGTAATGTTTTAAAGGTTCATGCATGTTGTAGCGTGAATCAATACTTCGTTCCTTTTATTTGCCAAATAATATAACATCATTTGGATATACGATATTTTGTTTTACCCATTCATTAGTTGATGGACATTTTAGGTTGTTTCTGCTTTTTGGCTATTATGAATAAATGCTGCTATGAATATTGTGTACGAGTTTTTGTGAGGATATATGTTTTCAGTTTTCTTGAATTTGTACCTGGGAGTGGAATTCCAGGGTCATATGCTAACTTTATGTTTAACATTTTGAGGACCTTATATACTGTTTTCCAAAAAGATTGTACTATTTTGTCTAGCTGGATTTTACTTTTTTTTGTTTTGTTAATCCACATCTGAGGATATTTTTTTCCATTGCTTTTGAGGGAGAGTGGAAGGTGGGGGGGCCGGGGAGACATCGATGTGAGAGGGAGACATCAATGTGAGAGAGACATATCGACTGGTTGCCTCCTCAATGCGCCTGGACCAGGGGCAGAGTGAACTTGCAACCCTTTTGTGCGAGGGCCAATGCTCTAACCACTGAGAACACTGGCCAGGGTGTCTAGCTCGATTTTAAATCGCCATTTTTAGTGTTCTAATTTTATATATATTGAAGGAAAACCTTAGCTGAAACAGATCCACCTGCAGTGGTTTGCACAATTGGACATACTTTTTTAAAATGTAGATTTGGAATTATTACTATTAATCTTTGGCTTTTTTTTTTTTTAATTTTATTTTTGCAGTTTTATCTCCAAGACACTAAAAGTAGTAATGGTACCTTTATAAATAGCCAGAGATTGAGTCGAGGCTCTGAAGAAAGTCCACCATGTGAAATTCTTTCTGGTGACATTATCCAGTTTGGGGTAGATGTGACGGAGAACACACGGAAAGGTACGGGTATGGATCAATTTTTCCTATTATTTGTCTTTTTAACTTTATTTTTTTATTCTATCATTAAATGTTACAAAATATTTTGGGCTTGTAGAAGGAATTATATGCAGTGAAAGATTAAAGTCTCTCATATCCCTGTTCCTTTTATAAAATTTTAAAATCTGAAATGTTCATAAGTAATTTATATTCTTCACTACAGTATGAAAACATAGGACACGACTGTGTCAGTTAGGAAACAGTTGGTTGCAGTGACTCCATACCCAATCACTAGGAGCTTAAACAGTAAGAATAGCTATTGATAACAAGAAGTCTGGAGACAGGTAGGTCCAGACTTTGTTCACTTAACTCAGTGATGTTATCAGAAACCCAGGATCTTACTGTCCTCACATGCTATTATCCTTAACATGTTGTTTTCTTATGCTTTTGCTTTTTGCCTCATGGTCAAAGTGTGACTGCTGCAACCCCACTCATTAGTTTCCTCACACCAGTGTTCTAGCCTAAAAGGAGGAGGTGGGGACAAAATGCTTTCCTGGGTGGCTCTCTTTTTATGTCGAAAGAACAGAATTTTATAGAATCTTCCCAGCAGATTTCTCCTTTTGTCTCACTGGCCACATGGCTGTGTCACATACATAGCTACCTGTAACTATAAAGGAGCCTGGAAAGTTACTTACCTATCAAAGGTGAGAAGGAGATCCATGATTGACATAGATCGATTATAATTTATCCCTTCCAGTTGTGTATGCATTGTTGCCCCAAACAAAATTCTGAAAGCAGCTAATAGTACCTATCACAGATATAAAATTTCACGTCTCAGTGTTTGAAACTAGAAGTTCTCTAGCTGAATAAATGTAGACTGTCTATATTTTTAGAATTCTGAAGCTTTCTGGCTATAGCTAGCAACTCTACTTATGACCGTGAAATTATATGGCTGAATCACAAAACTAAATGAATAGGAAACAGAAGAGTATAATTCCACTGTCTTAGTTTAACATGGACAGTAAAACCAATCGGCAAACTTCTTTCATTTTTCTGAACGTACTCTGAGTCTAGGTCATCAGTCTCTGAGTCTCTGACATTTTACACAGTATACACAGGGATTGGGTAGTGGTGTGATGCTGGTGTGTGTGCATGTGTGTATACTTTATCTACTTTCATTGGTGTTGCAATTGCAGTATTAGTTTTTTGTTTGTTTGTTTTTGTTTTGTTTGTTAATCCTCACCTGAGGATATTTTTTTCCATAGATTTTTTTTTTTTTAGAGAGTGTGAAAGTGAGGGGGGAGGGGAGGAAGAGAAACATCGATGTGAGAGAGACAGGGCTACGATATTAGTTGTACTGGGTTTTGTTGACCTCCTCAGAGATTTGGATTTTGATATTTGAATTTGTGTTGGGCCACATTTTAGGAATTTTCATTTATGGTTGTAAAATAGAAAAGGAAGTTTGTATTTTGATGCAAAATATTTACTACTCCTTAATTAAAGAATTCAACTTATGTGTTGCCATAATGAGAACAGCTACAGTGGACACTCTAACATCTGCCATTGCCACATCACATCTCTTCTGGTACCAAGTTATTCAGCAAACATTTAACTGAGCCCCAGGTGTGAGTAACCCACAGAAGACAAAGAATTTGATTACACTGTCTTTCTCTCCAAGGAATCTATCTCCTGAGCTTGCATTTCCCAAAGAGAATTAATAGGTGCTAATTGATAAAAAAAAATAAGGTAATCAAATACATTTAGGACATCTTAGTTAACCCAAGGTAAGGGGAGCTTTCAGAGCTTTTAATGTGCTAACATATACAGATCTCCAAGGGGGTGACTGTTACCAGATGCAACTCTTTTCCAACTCCCTCCCACTCTTCTTCCCTATCCAGCTGTAAGGGATTCTTTTTAGAAAATGCTGTAGAAAGCTAAGAGGACAATCCTGAGACAGGATTACTGTGTTTAGTACAATATTATTTCAGAAACATAGATTCTTGCAGGCTTCTTTGAAAATTTAAGTATTTTTTATACTAACTTTCAAGAAATTAAGGAAAGAAAATTTTCTTTATCATTTAAGTGTTGGGTTTTTAAAAATATTTGTTGGCTTCAAAAAGATGACGTATGTTATGCGTGGGCTCTTGAGATACAGCTGTGTCAGAAGTTGAGTACTACCAGTTTAAGCGTATGCCAGAAAAAGGAAAAGAAAAAAAAGAAAGGTAGACTTTGTCCTGTACTAAAAAATACTTTGGTAAGTAAGCTTTATATCACTTGGAAAATCATACTAAAATTATACAACACTACTGGATAACCCCTGAATCAAAAAGGGAATTTCAAATTATGTAAAAGAAGCCTTTTATACCAAAATACAGTAAATCCTTAACTCAGACAAAAATTTATAATCTTAAATTTCTTCAGTAGTAAAGAAGAAAGGCAAACAATGAAGGAACTTGGCACTTAGAAGAAATTAAAAAAAGAAGCCGGGAAGAAGACATAAAAAGCAGAAATTAATGAAATAAAAAACTTAAGGGATAAACAAACCCAAATGCTGGTTCTTTAAAAAAAAAATCCAATAAAATAGGTAATTTATAAGCCTTGATTCTTTTATGAGGTTAAAAAAATACTAGCAAAAATATACAAGATAAGGAATGAGAAAGGAGACATAAGTACAGATACAAGATATAAGAGAATTCTAAGAGACTATTACATGCCAATGTATGGCAAAGGAAAAATACTAGAGTAAATTTAATATTTTCCTAGCAAATTTATCCCAAGATGTGGAAAATTTGGATAAATCAATTTCCTTAAAAGTGACTAAAATGTTACTAAAGATTGACCAGAGACAGAGGCATTCACAGCTGAATTTGATCTTATTTAACGAATAATTCAAATATAATTTAAATAATTGAAACATAGATAAAAGTAGAAAGCTCTCAAAATCCTTTAAAGAAGCTTGCGGCATACCATTAATGCCAAAAAACTGTAATTTCACTTGTGACAACAGATAAAAAGCTCTGATTACAATATTAGTAAATTCAATTTAGAAATGAAGCTAGAATAAACAACAGGATTTATTGTAGGAGTACAATGGTGATTCAATTTGGGGGAAATCTTATCAATGTTACCCACAAACTAAAGCTGAAAAGCATGTAACTCTATAACCAGTAGATGTTGAAAAGGCATTTGATCAAGTTCAGGAGTTATTTGTTATAAAAGTTCTAAAAAAATAGGATGAAAATAAAAGCTAACTAAAATAAAATTTATAATTAAAGTAGAAAGAAAACATAGGCAGCAAAATCTCAGATATCTCTTGTAGCAGTATGTTTGCCAATACATCTCCTGGGGTAAGGGAAACAAAAGAGAAAATAAACAAGTGGGACTACATCAAAATAAAAAGCTTCTGCACTGCAAAAGAAACCATCAACAAAATGAAAAGGGAGCCCACTGTATGGGAGAACATATTTGCCAATGGTACTTCTGATAAGGGGTTAATATCCAAAATATATAAGGAACTCATACAACCTAACAAAAGGAAGACAAGCAATCCAATAAAAAAATGGGCAAAGGACCTAAATAGCACTACTCCAAAGTGGACATACAGATGGCCAAGAGACATGAAAAAATGCTCAAAGTCACTAATCATCAGAGAGATGCTAATTAAAATGACAATGAAATATCACCTCACACCTGTCAGAATGGCTCCATCAACAAATCAGCAAATGACAAGTGCTGGTGAGGATGTGAAGAAAGGGGAACCCTAGTACACAGCTGGAGGGAATGCAGACTGGTGCAACCACTATGGAAAACAGCATGGAGATTCTTCAAAAGATTAAAAATTGACCTGCCATTTGACCCAGTGATCCCACTTGTAGGAATATATCCTAAGAAACCTGAAACACCGATCAGAAAGAATTTATGCACCCCTATGTTCATAGATCTGGAAACAGCCCAAGAACCCATTAGTAGATGAGTGGATAAAAAGCTGTGGTACATTTACACTGTGGAATACTATGCAGCTGTAAAAAAGAAGGAGCTCTTACCCTTTAGGACAGCAAGGATGAACCTGGAGAGTAGTTTGCTAAGCAAATAAGCCAGTCAGAGAAAGACAAGTATCATATGTGGAATATAGTGAACAAAATAAACTGATGAACAAAATAGACCCAGAGACATAGAAGCATGGAACAGACTGAGGAATCTCAGGGGAAGACGGGGGTGGGGAGAGATTAATCAAAGAACTCATATGCATATCTGCGTAACCCAAGGACACAGTACTGTAGAGAAGGCCTGGGTGTGTGTGTGTGCAGGGTGGATGCAATGGTGGGGAAAATGGGACATCCGTAATACTTTCAACAGTAAAGATAAATTTTTAAAATGATACAACTGTGAAAAAAAGAAAAACATGCAAACTACCAGGCATATTTTATAAAATATATTAATATTTTTTAAAAATAGCAAAAATACTATACAGCTATTGAAATGTTTGAACTAAATTTGCATGTATCAGTAAGGATAAATTTTTATTTCTTTTTAATCCTCACCTGGGGATTTTTTTCTATTGCTTTTTAGAGGGAGTGGAAGGGAGAGACAGAGACAGAGAAACATCTATGTGAGAGAGACACATTGATTGGTTGCCTCCTGCATGTCCCTGACCAGGGCAGGGGATCGAGCCTGCAACTGAGGTATGTGCCCTTGGCCGGAATCAAATCCGGGACCCTTCAGTCCGAGGGCCAATGCTCTAACCACTGAACCAAACTGCATAGGGCAATTAGGATAAATTTTAAACATCTTAAGCAAAATGCAGAAGGATGTGTGTGGCATAATATCATTTACATAAAACATGAATTCATGCAATACAGTACTATATAGTACTTTTGAATATATTTATAATGAGGATATAAAAATTAGACACTTAAAATGATAAAAATTGTTTGTGAAGATCTATTAAAGGAGTTTTTGTACCAGTGTGCATAGTACACAAGAAAAAATGGAAGCATAAATTTTAAATTGCTCATTATACAGTTTTTAAAAGAATAGGATTATTTGAATTTCAGGGATTTCCATAAGATATATTGTCAGTGAAGAAATGATTACTTTTAATAATTTCATTATTTTAAAAAAGTCTCACTAATTGTTATGTATGTCCATGTATATGTATATGTTTGTACATGATTATATGAACATGGGGGGAAAACATGGAAGAATGCATGCCAGGTCATTAATGTTGAGTCATCCTGGAGTGTTTGTTGGTGGGAGGGAGTTGTTAAAGAAGAGGGAGTCAAATTAAAAAGGTTGGGGCTAATAAAACTGCAGAGAAACCCTCCAGTGTAGCCCTGGCTAGTATGGCTCAGTTGGTTGGAGCATCATATTGTACACCAAGAGGTGGCAAGTTTGATTCCCAGTGAGGCCACATACCCAGGTTTTGGGTTCAGTTCCCACATGTGGAGGCAACCTATCATTGTTTCTCCCCCCCCCCCTTCTTCCCTTCCTTTCTCTCTCAAATAAAAAACAAAACCCTCCAGTATATATGAAATTTATGTAATATAATGTATGTGTGAAAGGAAACTTTAAAAAAGAATATATAATGTATAAAAATGTGTGTGTGTGTGTGTGTGTGTGTGTGTATAAAGTCTGGATTTTGTTAAAAGGTGATACGAGCCTGTCATTGAACATATTAGTTCATATTAGTGTCTCTTCCCTTCCAAGCTCTTTAAAACAAGCTGATTTTGTTTTTTGGCTTTTCATATAGTGTGAAAAGAGAAAACTCACTGGTTAATATTGTACTAACAACCTGCCTTATAGATAAAAAATAGCTGTTATAAACAAATAGGATGACATTCTAATGGGGTTTTTTTTAAAGGAAGGGAGGAACAGAGAAAGCCAACCTCTCAGATCTTCCTGGATGGGAGCCTTAGCAAACCAACTGCTGACCTCTACTTTGTTTCCAAACCCACAAACTCCTCAGGCAGGGCATGAGTTTTCTGGGTCACACAACATTACAGTAATCCTCTGTTGGCAAGTTTGGGACCAGTTAGTTCCACAAATTTCACATGTAACTCCTATCAGCTCATCAGCTCAGGTCCACTTCACCAGTATCTGTTCCTGGGTTAAACCCCTATGAAAAAAGAGCCTGTTAAGAGCAAGGTCAATGGTATCTTCCTTTTGCTTTATGCCCCTACTGCACTGAATTACTTTTATTCCCCAAAATAGACCTTACCTTTTCTGGCCTTCCAGCCATTGTACACACATGCTTTTTCCTTCACCTAGACGTGTTTCTAGGCCAGACAATTACCCTTCCATGTCCCTGTTACACACTGCATCCCTCCCCTTTATGTGTTTGTCTCCCTCATTAAACTGTAAGCTGTGCAAGAACAATGTATCTGTCTTCATTATAGAAACTCCACACTCAACCTGGCACCAATATTGGTTGAATAAATTTCAAGATGTCCTGTGAATCTTTATCCACCATTTTACAGAAATTCTTTCTCCCATCTTAACTAAGATTTCTACAACCTTCCTCCTAATACGAGGATTGAGAATTGGCAACATTCTTGTTATCCACTGCCCTTTTTGTTCTGATGTGACTCAATTACCTCTCCTTACTCTGCCTAAGCTTTAATTTCCTCATCAGTGGTTCTTGATATGTGTTAGCACTTTTCATATAATAAATTAGGTGATGAAAATTAATATTGAGTAAAGTATGCTAAATTACTTAAATTTAATGTGCATTTCCAGATGACATAGTAATCATATTACTTCATGTTTATAATGCCATCTTGATGATTCATGGGCCTGATTACTTAATAAGTTACCCTTCTATAAGTGCATTAGCTCTGTTCTTTAAATCAGTTTTATTGAGATACAGTTTATTTACATCAATTTTACATGTATAGTTCAGTGAGTTTTGACAAATGTAGAGTCACATAACCACTACTTTTCTAATCATGATATAGTGTATTTTCATCACCCTGCATTAGCTTTTAATTAGAGTTTGGTAAACTAAATAAATTAACTCTTTGAACCCTGGAAGAAGTAATATCTGAACAGTAGAGAAATAAAAAACTGTCGCCCTTTAAACAAGCCAAAATTTTATTTTCTATGAAACCCACACAAAAAGAAGCTCTCTCGCCCTGGCCAGTGTGGTTTAGTGGTTAGAGTGTCAACCCATGCACCAAAGGGTCTCGGGTTTCATCCCCAGCCCCAGTTGGAGTGAGCGTGGGAGGCGACCAGTTTATGTCTCTCTCACGTTGATGTTTCTCTCACCCCCCCCCAATCCCTCCCTTTCACTCTCTCTAAAAAGCAATGGAAAAAATGTCCTCAGATGATTTTTATAAAAGGGAGGTAAGCTCTCTGTATAAGTGCTACTTGGAGGGGCTTTTGTCTCTTGAAATCTTCAGAAAGAAAAGGAGGAAGTAAGGAAGTAAGAATCAACGGTAAGAAGTCCACAGCCCTGGCCAGAGCTGCTCAGTTGGTTAGAGAGTTGTCCTGTGCACTGAAGGGTCACATGTTTGATTCCTGATCAGGGCACATACCCAGGTTTCAGGTTCGATCCCCAGTCAGGTGCATATGCAACCAATTGTTTCTCTCTAACATCAATGTCTGTCTGTCTCTGTCTCTGTCTCTGTCTCTGTCTCTGTCTCTCTCCCTCTCCCTCTCCCCCTCCCTCCCCCTCTCTCTTCCTTTCCCTTCCTCTCTCTCTCTCTCTCTCTCTCTCTCTCTCTCATCAATGAAAAACATCCTCGAGTGAGGATTAAAAGTTTCTTTTCTTTAAAAAAAAAGTTGTCTACATAATGACGGGTGTAAAGCTATATAAAGATGTTTGGGGGAAGAAATAACCACCAAGAAAACAAAACCAAAACTTCAAATACTGAACTGGAAACTTCAGACTTGAAGTCTAGCAAATAGCTCTGATATTTCATAGCAGAGTTGTAGAAGCAGTTTCACTTGTCTGAGGACTTAGTTTTCTCACTCATAAAATGGGGAATTGAATGGTGTATTTCAGGTTGTAGTATATAGAACTTTAGAGTATTGTGAGATGTGGATGGTAGTTACACGTTGGGGACAGGAGAATTAGGAATAAGGGCTAAATTTTAAACTGGGGAGGAGTTGGACTTAGTTTTGATGCCGGTGAATAGGGGAAAGAGTCCATTTCCCCCCACTCAATTGTGCTTCCATATATTCAGTTGACCTTTTATTGACTTGTTATAGCATTGGAGGTTAGGACACTTTTCTAAACATAGTTTTACCTGTACTTGTGATTTCTTATGCATAGGGACCAGTTTTTCCAGGGGAATAAATATTGTCATTAATCCACCAGATTTATTTTCTTTCCCGAAAGTTATTACATATAAGAATAAAATGTTTACATATAAGAGGTATGAAGATTCATATTTTTAAACAGTTATTTTATCCATTCTTATTTGTTTGTTTTAACCAGTTACCCATGGGTGTATTGTTTCCACAATAAAACTTTTTCTACCAGATGGTATGGAAGCCCGACTCCGCTCAGAGTGAGTATAATTCAGTGCTATAAAGTTCTTGTATTAATTACTTTAGTTAATTATATTCTAGGTGATGATATTACTGTTAATACTTCAGGATTGTTCGAACAATGTTGGAAAATTCATGGATCTCCAGGTCCATGGGTTGACGCCCAACCACTGACCCACCCCGGCCGGGCTTGATTTATACTTTTCACAGATTATCATTATGAGGTGTTGGAGGACGCTAAACAGTCTTTAAACTTCAGCATTTTTTATTTTGGGGGAAAACCTTGAATATGCTAGAAGTTTGTTTCTATAGCTAACATAATATTTTCTATTTTTCAAAAGCAGAGAAAAAGATCTGAGGGTGGGAGGTTGAGAGAAGCACAGTTTACTACAAAGCAGTTAGTCAGTAGGAGAGAGAAGGAAAAAGAGAGAGAGGCCCTTCCAGTACTATGATAGTCTGTGTTCATTAGAATTATATATTATGCTTCAGTTAGAAGCTACCAATTTTTTATTTATCTATTTTTGGCTTCAAGGGTATCTGAAGCAAAGCAGAAATTTTAAAACATTATAAATTTATCCCTGGCCAATGTGGCTTAGTTTGTTGGCACGTCATCGAGTACACCAGAGGGGTGGAGGGTTCAATTCCCTGTCAGGTCACATGCCTGGATTGCAGGTTTGATCCCAGTTGGGGCATGTTTGGGAGGTGGTCGGTCGATGTTTTTCTCTCTCTCCTTTCCTCTCTAAAATCAATAAAATAAGAATTAAAAAAGAACATTATAAATTTAAAACATTCATGTTTCTTATTTTAAATTATAGTTTAATTATTAAAAATAAAATTAACTTTGGGAACTGTAATGTGATTTAGCTTTTATGAGTCAAGAGTTAAGATTTTAAAAAGAAGAGTAACTATTAATCAACTAATGAAATATGGCTTCTTAAAGACCTTGATGTTTGTATTTGATAATGAGGTTTTCCTTTCATTTAGTCAGAAGCTTTGAACAATTGCATAAAGGGTCATCTGTGTCCTCAGGCTTCACCTAGTAGGGCAGGTGAATTTTTTCAAAATCTATTTCAGAGAATTGTGTCCCTATCCCTCTTTTTTCCCCAATGCTTTTCATCTTTGCCCTGTTTCCTTCTCATTGGTCGGTTTTCCTTATGTCGTTAAATATTAGCATCACTTAAAATTTACTGCCAGTTTCATTGTACATAATCTGGCTGACTTTCTGAACAAGATGAATTTTGAACAGGCAAGTCTCTAGAGCTGGAGGAAGATCAGAATGGTCTTTAGAAGAGGATAGTACAGTTCAAGGCCTGTTCTGTGACTTGATCAGTCCTTCCTTTTCTCATTTGAAAATGAAGATAGCCCTGGACGGTGTGGCTTAGTTGGTTGGAGCGTTGTACTGTATACCAAAAGGTGGTGGATTCTTTCGCCAGTCAGGGAGTGTGGGGAGGCAGCAGATCGATGTTTCTCATATCGATGTTTCTCTCTGTCTCCCTTCTTATCTCTAAGATCAACTTAAAAAAAAGAAAATGAAGATAATAGTAACCTATTTAGCAAGAATTTTATGAGGAGGATTAAGCAAAATTATGTACTTAAAGAGCTTGGCATGTGATACCTGGTATATAATAAGCACATGATGTTTCTTTTATTGTAATCTAATTTTTTTTTTTTAGCAATCAAATATGCTTTTAAGTTTGCCAGAGTACTTAGAGTTTAAGGTACCTTGTATACATAGCATTGAATGTTTTTAAGTTCTTCAGTAATTCTAAAAAAGTTGATTCTTTTTCTTCCTTAATTTTTATTATATTGTATAAATAATTTTTATTTATTGAAGATTTGAAAGAGAGAAACATTGATTTGTTGTTCTACTTATTTATGCATTATTTGGTTGATTCTTGTATGTGCCCTGACCGGGGATCAAACCCACAACCTTGGCCTATTGGGATGATGCTCTAACCAACTGAGCTATCTGGAGAGAGCTTTACAAATAATAATAATTTTTTTTAATCTTCACCCAAGGATATTTTTTCCATTGCTTTTCAGAGAAAGTGGAAGGGAAGGGGGGGAGAGAGAGAGGGAAGGAGGAAGGGAATGGGAGAGAACATGGATGTGAGAGAGATACACATCAGATTTGTTGCCTCCTGCGCTCACCCTGAGCAGGCTGGGGATCAAGCCTGCAACCGAGTCATGTGCCCTTGGCTGGAATCAAACCCGGGCCAACAGTCTAACCATTGAGCCAAACTGGCTAGGGCAATAATTTATTTTATTTTATTATTTTATTTTATTTTATTTTATTATTTATTTTATTTTATATTTTATTATTTTATTTTATTATTTTATTTTATTTATTTTATTTTTTATTTTATTTTATTATTTTATTGATTTTATTATTTTATTTTATTTATTTTATTTAATTTATTTTATCTATTTTATTTTTTTATTTTATTTTATTATATTTTATTATTTTATTTTATTTTATTATTTTATTTTATTTTATTTTATTTTATTATTTTATTTATTTTATATCTTTTTAATCATCACCAGAGGATATTTTTTCCATTGATTTTTAGAGAGAGTGGAAGAGAGAGAGAGAGAGAGAGAGAAACATCAGTGTGAGACACATCAGTTGGTTGCCTTCCACATGCACCCTGACCAGGGCAAGTGATCAAACCTGCAACCCAGGTACATGCCCTTGACCGGAAATCAAACCCACAGCCTTTTGATGCATGAGCCAAGGCTTTAACTATTGGGCCACACCGGCCAGGGCTACAAATACCTTTTAAATGATAAGAAACAAATCCCACCACCCTAACACTAAATAATGATTTTCCTTTTCTACCTTTCTTGTTGCACATGACTTTTTCCATAAGTCAAATAGAATGCACCCATATCCAAGATAACTTTTATAAAATACAAATATATATCACTTATAGAAGGTTGCTGGATTTTTAGCCTTTTTATTTTTTGTTTTTTCAAAATATATTTTTATTGATTTTAGAGAGAGAGTAAGGGAGAGGGAGAGAAACATCAATGAGAAACATCGATTGGCTGACTCCTGCACGCCCCCTACTGGGGATCAAACCTGCAACCTGGGCATGTGCCCTGACCAGAAATAAAATTGGTGACCTCCTGAGACACACCAGCCGGGCAGCCTTTTGATTGTGAAGATATTCCTAAGGACAGAAAAATTGTTACTTGGGTCACTAAGAAAATTGGATTTAAAAAAACTTCATTAATTCCATTTGCTTCTATTCAGACGTTTTAAAGTTCATTTTCCTATATGTGCATACTGGCATTGGGTAATTTTTATTTATTTCCTCATGCTTCACACATTTTCCCATAATCATCATATATTACTTGTATAGTCAAGAAAAAGAAACTTATGTTTAAAATGTCTGCCTCATTTTTATGGAATAGAGAAGAAAAACTAAAGTTGTACATAATTTTTTAAACCTTCATTAGGCACCAGCTTTGTTAGGGCCTTTTGATAGGTTCTGGGAATACAGAGGTGAATTATTCATGGTGCTGGGGAACACAGACACAAAATAAAGCAAGTAAAGGTTTATAGGCCTATTGAGAGTCTGGATAGGATATCTTTCATAGATGCTCAGAAGGGAGGGGGGTTCTGGTACTTAATATTCCTTCCTATTCAGCATTTTAGTGTATTTGTAATTAATTGAATTGAAACAGTTTTTAGGATGTTTGCACTTACTGCAATGGGATCAGAATTCTCATTTCTGTTTTTTAAGTCCTGAAAGATCAGTTTCTCAGGAGGTTACACATGACTAACTAATTGAATCTAGGGATTTTACCCAGTCAGCCTTCAAGCAGAGTGACCATCACCAGAGTGACCTCTAGGATATGAAGCAATTAGCAACTGGTAGGGGATATGGGTGGCATCCTTGCTCTTTGCACTCTCTACTCACCTCCAACCCACATACAATATCATATAGGACATTGTAAGGTAGGAACCCTGGTTTCCTTAGCTGCAGTGTTCCCTC